TCCAAGAGGTGTCCTCCTTCACAGGAGACAGGCGTCCTGCAGACTTGTGGTGTCATGAACTCTTTTAGCTCTCAGGTGGATTTCTACTGGAAACTGTGTAAAAGAGTGACGTCTGCTTTGTCTTACATTTGCATTCTGGACTGGGGGGCGCTTTGCTTTCACTGGTGCTGTTTGTAAATGGAGACCAGAGGTGGGGGGAAAAAGGTGACCTTGAGAACGTCAGTTCTCGGGGGCTTTGACTAAGCCAAGGGCAGAATACAACTCGTGCGTCTCAGCCAGTGTCTCGGTGGGTTGCATCGGCTGTGTCCAAGGACACGCTGCCCTAGGCAAGCGTGCTGTACACATGGGGGTTCCCCCAACGCCCTCCGGTTTTCCTTCCTGCGAGCTGTCTCTGCTGCTGTCCTGGTCCCATCCTGCCTCAAGGACTTCTGCTGAGCTCCCGCCCCCTTTCACGCGCAGCATTCTGTGCCCAGCTCAGTGCATCTCACTGTTCTGCCCCACTTCCACGGAAGTTGAATAGGAGTCTTTGCCCTAATCCTGGCACTGCCCTGTGCTGTGCTGCGATGTGTTACCAGGCGGTAACGCACACAGCAGTGCGATATATACAGGGAGGTGTGAAGTTATGCCACAATCTCGAATTAAATGGTTGGAAATAGCAAATTGGCTGATTCATGTCGCCTTTGGTACGAGTCCACAAATACGGACTCATGAACCTACTTTGCAGAAGTTCCAGGGCCAGTTTGAAGCTTAGGAAGGCCGAATGTGAGCAGTGAACAACTGATTGTGGGCGCTTCACTGATGCGCATCGTGGGAAAGCAAGATGGCTTTGTTGATGCAAATAGAAACTTAAATGAAGTTTCTATTTGTGGCCGTGACTGCTTAAGCTGTGAACTGTGCGAAGGCAGCAGTGACAGTTACCTCCCTGCCCCAGAAAGCAAACCAAAACCGAACAGCAAATACAGTCTGTCGGGCTGGAAAGGTAGTCGTTGGTACGTTAGCTGTGTGATCAGCAGCAGCAGTTACTGCTGCGGGGCTTGGTTATAGCAGCGGTGGGAAATTCTTGAAATGGGGAAAATTCACTTCTTGTCCTAAGGTAGTTGCACCAGAGCCTTGGCAGTGCCACCGTCCTGATGTTTCGCTCCAGGGTTCGTGCTGTGGCTCTCCGGTAACGGAACTGACCGTTGCGTTGATGAAATGGGATATCCATACTGGGCCAGATAATGTGGTTTTGGGGTATTTTTGGTTTGGTTTGGTGTGGTTTTGTGAAATAGCAATAGGGTTTCAAATGACAAGTGAGCTTTGAGTCCAACCTGTTTAGTGAGAGTCAGAGTTGCTTTTTCGCAGACAACTCGAAATGTCATAGAAACGTGCTTTTTTCAGACTTTTCTGGTACTTCAAATCCCAGTCTAGACAAGGACCTGTAGGTGCTGAGAAGTAACACCTCGTACTGGAAGACAAAGCTAATGGAAGCTACGTATAGGCTTGTGGAGGCCGTGTGGCATGGCTTGCTGCTGTTGGGAAGTGTGAGGGGGTGGTTTCATATCACACTTTCTTCAATCTGCAAATTTCAGTGTGTTTCTGGATTACAACAGCATGACTATTTTTTTTTTCCTTAAACAGGAGTGTGACCAGGTACACATAGAAGATGTGGCATCTGATGACAACGGCCAAGATTTAAGGTGGCGTATTGATGAATGCATGAAATGTGTAGCTGCTGTCGTTTTTGTGGGAGTTCAAACCCGGAGGGGGTTAAGGGATGGCGAGGTCAGCGTTGTGCAGCGGGTGGAACTTGGCAGACAGTTTGCTGCTTGGAAGACCTACAAAACATTAAGGCTTTTGGAAGTGTCATGGATTATATTGTCCACCGTTGAGTGTTGCCCGTGTGCTCCATGACACGTGAGGAGTGCAGCGCCACCGCTCCAGACTTCATGATCTCGGCCTGTGAGTCTCCCTGTGGTTTGCAGCCCTCTGTACGCGGATGGTGCGCAGGCAGGCAGGGCCAGGGTAAGTTTTCCGCTGCGTTAATGAGCGGAACTGGCTCCTGGAAAGGTCTGAGAAGTGCCTGTCCGCCAGGGAGAAGGAAGTGTGGGGAAGGTGGTGAAGCAGGACCTGCTTCCAGCTGGCAAAGCAGCTCATCTGCTTGTGACGTAAAGACACGGATGTTAGGTTGGAAAGATACTGTGCTGGAGTTTATCACTGCAGACTGGGAAGGGGTTAGTGGGAAGGGTGCTCTGTACCACAGAGGAGTGAGCAGTCAAGGAGCAGAGGAAGGTTGTGCAGTGGAGGGCGTGAAAGAAGAGGTGAATCAGTACAGGCCAGTGCAGCAGTTCAGGACCAGCAGCAGATGTTGCTGGATGTCCGAGCCCGTGGCGCGCGGGGTGCAGTGGTGGCTGTGCAGGGTTCCTCTCGGAGGCGCTGTCCTAGCTGTTTTGTTCGCCAGCCCCGCCAGAAAAGCTGCGGCGGTTCTGCTGCTGTGGCGCTCGTCACGGATCTGCTTTTCCGAAACAGCAACTACAATTTCTCCACGGATGGCTTCAGTGGCTCAGGAGGTAACGCGAACCACAGCTCCTCGGTCGGTGTCCAGGGGGGAGTCGACTGGATGAGGAAACTGGCCTTCCGCTACCGCCGGGTACGAGAGATCTACGACAAGTACAAATCGAACGTTGGAGGTGAGTGTTCGCCCGCGCCGGTGTCTGAGCACGGAACGGGGTTTGTGGTGCCAGGCTCCTTCCTTCCTCGGCGGTTTTGCTTTCCCGAATGCTTGGACACGAAAAGTAGCCATTCCTCTAGTGCTAAATGGGATCAGACCTCCATGGAATCGAGGAGGGCACGTCTCCCAAACTGAATGCGTGCCAGTGCGGCCTGTGAGTTGCCATGCAGATAGGGATGGCCAGTCAGT